TAGATCCTATATTTGGTTTCGGCTGAAGATGAGTTTATATAAACAATGGCTGACGTTATGCGATTAAACAAACAAGGACATCAATACCATTTTTACCACCTGTTAGCAAAAAAACTAAAAACAACACGGAAGGTATAGAAGAACCACACACATTGTGTTGTGTATTCTTCCAATTAGCAATTCCTCTTCGTACATTATTATTTATTGTTCTTGCTTTGTTGCATGTGTGCATAGGCTGCCATGGGCGCACGGAAAGAGGAGCGCTGTTCCTACAAATACCGTGGCCCCGTTAAATAGGCATATTCATAATGTTTTTTTGTAAAATTCATAGAGTTTTTCAGAACTCAGCGCTCCTTTTTGAAAAATAAACACTGCTCATAAATGCAAAAGGTCTCTCGACAAGTTTTCTGTTGATTCTATCTCACGGTCAGCGATGAATTGTGTTTCTCTTATCAAAGTTTTCAAAGACAGAATTATGTCGAAGAAAATCACTTTAAATAGCAAAGTTTCCAAGATATTAGTCCGCGAACTTTCGTACTACTGCGTAGTGTCTAAGGTATAAATCCAATTGTCTTCTGCGAATGGCATTGAAGCAGACATACATTCATTCAGAATTTTGGCCGATCATAGTGGACACCGTTGATCACTATCAGTGTGTTCTAGCTTAATAAGTTAATTAAAAAAGATGTATAATCTACAAATTGATAACACATGACTGCTAACTTTGAAGGCAAGAATAAAATTGTATTGTTACAGTCAGTGTCAAAGAACACCCAGTAAAAATAATTTTATTTGAATGAGATTTTTTAATAGTTAGACACAAGTATGACAAAGACATAATTGAATTTTGAACTGAAAACCTTTTGCTGTATTGCTGGATTTACCTAAAAATGTATTGGGCTACCGCGATGCAGTGTAAATTCGTCCAGAGTTCGCGGCATGCTGATGACGAGATGAACTGCTGGTATTTGTGGAGAATGAAATATAATTTTTCTAGCCTCCATATCTCACACATGTTCAATGCCAAGAAATGAGGTTGACTTGAGTGTTATTAAGGTAGTTTATTGTAGCTCTCATAATGGGCTTATGGAGAAATGACAACAGATGGGTATTCTCTGGACCATCATACCTCCTCTAATGAAAGCAAGAGGTGACTTGACACCATATTAAACAGCGCGCCAAACATATAACTCCTGTAATACGGTGCACGTGACGTTCAACAGAAAACTTTACATTACGTTTTTATCTGTGATACCTTGCAACTTGTGCCTATGCATGGTGTATTCCTTAAACAGGACCGAAGTCGTTATCAGTCATAATTCCATGTTCTCCATCTCGTTTCCATTTTAGCACCCAAGATGGAGGAGCGTAAGTCAGAAATCGTGGCGGAGAAATACACAAAGCTTTCAGTTAAACGTTCTGGGACGCGGTAGTAACCTACTTCAATAACTCTCAAGTCTATCTCTTTCCTTGTCCTCCTGAATCTTGAGACTGTTCGCCCACTGGGCATGTGTGGGGTGTGATGGGGAAAAAATTGACCTCTGCACCTCATCCTTTACAAACTCCAGCAGCTCCTACGAAACCAAGTACAGCTAGTTAAGGTATCTCAAAAAGACATAAATCACCTCTTCAGAAACATGCCCCGACGACTGGGCGGAAGTACATGGAATTGGGGTGACCCAATACATTATTAGCAAAATAAAATTAAATCAGTAGTTTCCCTTACTTATGTCTATTTACAGGGTGTCCTCAAAGTTGGGACTTTTCTTTGCACGGTGTATAGATTATGGAAAAATGAGCATTTTTTCCTAGTAACATATACAAAAAAGTCATAAGATTACCAAGATGTTAGACTCCACAGGGCCAATCAAACCCAAGCAATACTTAATCCAGTCCTGCACCTCGATCCGATCAAACGTACAATGCGCTTCAGTACTCAATCCATGCGCTGGCTGTTTGTAAAAAAGCCTTTATACATTGTGAATAAAAAACAAAAACAAAAATGGCACACTCATACAGTAATATCGGTGTTGTCCATATTATTTTAATTCACGGTGAGTATCTTCGAAATGCTACCGAAGCTTCACGAGTGCATGCAGATCGTTTTTAAAGATCCGCCGTGCTTTTTTTTGCTTGGGGCGACATGAAATGTTTAGTGTATCTAACAGTGAACATGGTTGACGAACTACGTTGGCGAATTTACCAATTTACTGCATTCATTCGAGAAAGGCAGTCCATTCTAAAAGCCAAGCCTGTGTGAATCTACTGCAAAAACTTTGAACAATACTTACAAGTGACAGAGATGTACTTGAAATTTCTTTTTCGAGTAAGTGTGAGTACTTCTTAAACTATTTTTTTTACTTCTTCACTGTTGTATCACCGCACATTGGCTTTGTTATTACAAAGTTGTTTCTGAAAGGAATGTCCCAACTTTCAAGAGTATAGTGTTCTACTTTCTTTTTCATTGATATTTCCACATTTTTCATCTGACTCTGAAGTGCCACATCTGGGAAACGTTGATATTTTATTTTATGCTTGATGACAGTAATGAAGTACATTAATTCTCGCCATAGAATAAAGTAATGCCAAAATCCATTGATTATCTGTATTGCCTTTAATCCAGCAGGTATCGCTTCCTAGAAAAAATTCCTGCGGGCGTCCATGTGCGTGTGAACATAGCACATACACTGCTGGAGTTTGGCCTTCGCGAACAGTTTCTGCTCTCGGAGGATATTTTGAAATTAATTGTTCTTTTGGGGAACATGAAACTGATTTGAATATTGCAGAATGGATTGACGTAATATATAGACGTAAGTGTTTATGAGTACGTATGTAAAGGAGCTTGTCGTCTACCACAATGGTAGCATTATACAAACAATTATCAAGAATATTATTTGCAAGAATGTTGAGTATATTTAACTTTAGTGCTTTCTCAAACGCAGGTAGAAGGTAAATGGCTACCTGTATAAACAAGTTAGTTTCACGGTCAGATAAATACGAAAATGAGTGCAGTAGGAATGATGTGAAGTATAGCGGCTGAGTTTTCAAACGAAATGTACACACATTTTCATTGGAATTGTAAAAAAAAATAGAAATCGAATTAAGAAATATTTGACTATGTCATTAAATGTGGAACCTAGGCATATCTCCTGATGAAAGTCTGAACTTTATTCTTCGTGTGAACAATGTTACAAAAAATGTATTTTAGTACTTCGGCAAGTATACTTGAACAAACAAGCTTTCGATTACAAAACTAAAAAAGTTCTCTTTGAGTAATTAATTATTCCAAAAATTACATTTTGTGACATTGTTTATCAGCCGTTTTTAGATTCAGTACCCGTCAAGCGCATGCAAAACTTTCAAAGTTCAAGTTGTATGCACTCGCTTTATTGATAAAATAACAATGCCTCCCCACAGAACTTCATCTTTTACTAAATGTTTTACTTATAATGCTACTATCAAGTACAATGCTTTACCCTTTGATACTAAAGCTTTGAATTTATAGGATTTCTAAAAGTATTTAAAGAGATCATTTTCGAGCAATTATTCACATATAGCACATTTATCTCTCACTTCTGCTTATAGTATATGCATTAACATCATTCTATAGGTATGTGTAACGTCATACTTTTATCCAATCTTGGTTTATTTTACACAATTGATTCATTTTTATGTTGGAGCCACTGCATTTATAGTGGTATTTATTGTTTATTTTGGGGATAGATACCGTTTTATTATTATTGAATTGTCAACTTACGTAGGATTATCAGATGTTATCTACTGCTTAGAGGCTATGAAATGAGGAATGTACACGCATTTTCATTAGAGTTGTCAACAAAAGTAAAAGTTCTTGTTGACACTACCATTAGGCTGCATACCCTATATAGACGTCGCCATCAACAACACACTGCAGAAGCTCTACCTACATGCTTCTCCCTGGTTACATCGAGGTCATATATTGCAAGTAAGCACCTGGACGTATGCCTAGACAAAAGTTTGAGGATTACTGGTTATATTAAGCGTATCGTGAGAAGGGTCAATATGGCTGTTGAAACTTTGGACCGGTTAATGAAGTCTGACAAAGGATCTGAATAGTGAATAGCGCAGGATTCCGGTGTGAATAGCGAGCTCCATTATGACTCTCTCTATGAGAAACTACTCAGAAAAAATAGACATACAACGCTGTCAGAAGCTGAAGCGAGGCAGTTTTATCTTCCTATAAAACGGCGAGAAAGATGCAATTTATAGACGAAGTAGATAAGTTGTTCATGGAGTAGCAGAGGAAGTAATGTATAGCCGGCTAACAAATTCGTTCTCAGGGAGTGGCAATACTTAAGGGTTGCGTGAATTACTACAATACAGATCCATGGTTATTTTATAACCTTTTTAAACGTATATAAAAGCGAAAAGTACGAATTGTATGTAATGCGCTGACGTCGAGGTCAGCTTCAATTATTTAATTGAAGGTATTTTTAACTCAACATTGTTATCAAATATGTAAGCATCTAGACTAAACGGGCCAGAAGTACCAGACATATTCACTCATTTTATAATTCTTCTGTGATATTATATTTTCAGTAAGCGTTATTCAACGTGCTGCCTAAGAGTTCCTGTGGAATATTCCTTCAAAAATGTTATATCCATATATCTAATCGACTAGTTTGTTTATTCTTTTTTGCATGGGAATGGCCCTGATTTAGAATGTCGCATATTTATTAAACCGCGTATCGAAATATGTTTTGTTGGATTTAAAGCTCAATCTTGGAATCGATGAACGGTTTGGATATTAGAAAATATTTTTTGTAGGTAGCTGAAATGTTTGCTCTTTTTATTGCGATTCACTGCACGAATAGTTAATTGTTTTTCACTGCCTTTGCGTCAGTCGCGCACATGGGCATTCCAAGCCAATAACCACTCGCAACTGTGTCTGCATTTTTCCACTTATTTTCCATTTCTTTACATCTTTGCGTACCCGCTACTTCATTCCTCTTTGACGCGCAATGCTTAGTCCTCACAATTACACGCATACCACTACTACCAGGAAGCAATACATACATTTCGTCGGTGGACATTGAGCGAGAATTAAGTCTAGTTAAGTGGCCCTCAAATACCCCTTTCACATATTATTTACAGGCAGCTAGCTTCGCACATTATAGTTAAGCTCTGTAAACTTATATTTTAAGCTATGTGGGAGCATCTACGACAGTACCAATATTTGTAGAACATAGAGTACGTATAGTCTGCGAAAACATAAATCTCGAAAACTTTATAATAAATAGCTTTGAAATAAAGAAATCTCAGAATACTCTTCGAAGTGAAGCAAGGTTAAAACTTGACAACCTCAAAAATTATGATATTTGATCAAGTTTGAGCATTGAATATACACATTTTTACGGCTTTTCAGACACTAAATCGCTTATAATTCGGAAACAGTAAGCTTTAGACAAAAGTTAATGGAAGCCTTGTTTGCTCGAAATGATCCAAAAAAAACAGCAAAAAATTGTAATTCATTTAGAAAAATTGTTTACATAAATTTGACCTGGGTTACGAGCTGGTATATTCGATGATTAAAAACTCTATTGAAAATTATAACTCTTGAAGTAACCAATAATCTAATTAAAAGTTTATATCTTGCTCTACAATACCTTGAAGAGTGTTTTGTGATAAGTTTATTTGAAAACGACTTCAACATTGTTTTTCAGCTCAAAATTTGCTAACTTTTGGTTATCGAATACTGCACACTGACAGCTGGCATTCGTACCAATGTATCACCGTCCACAACAGTAACGAGTGCCTTTGATACCTTGTTGCTTAAGAGTAGCAAAGCCATCGTTCGTGATCGGTGCTTGGAAAGAGCTAACTTTACATTTCCTGCTGTGAACAATAACAGGTACTACTTCGGTCGAAAGTTGTGGAGAAATACTCATCGTTTCACATACGTCAGCTTGTAGTATTTGTAAAATATATCTTCTACTAGTATTTACTCACCTCGTATGTTGTGCATGTGCTAAATAGCCACGAAGTTAGTAAAAGAATAATGTGATGCGCCATTTTCCTGCAACAAAAAAATTATATTAATGATTATTGATACATCAAAAATGGTTTGATGCTATGCAGTTTAAGCTAATTAAACTAATTTAGGAAATCTGCAAGTGGCAAGTCTAAGGAGTGGGTATACTATTTATTCAAATGAAAGACACGTGCAACTAAAATAATACATAATTAATAATAAAATTGTTGATCATAAGAAATCACCTAAACGGTCCTCAAAGTTGGGACTTTTCTTTACACGGCGTAATGATCTTGAAGAACAAGCAGTTTTTTAGTAACATATACACCAAAGTCTTAAGATTACCGAAATTTTAGGCCTTCAACCCTAAACAGCACCTATTCCGGTCCTGCACCTCGATCAGATCAAACGTACACGTACAATGCGGATCAGTGCTCAATCCAAGCGCTGGCTGCGTTCGGAAACAAAACTTTTACACATCTGTCCATATTATTTTAATTTACAGTGAGGGTCTTCGAAATGCTATTGAGGCTTCGGGAGTGCGTGCAGATCATTTTTAAAGATCCTTTGTGACTTCTGTGAAAACTGAGAAGATGAAATACGTGTGCGAATTTAGCAAATCACCCGTATTATTTTCCTAATTTTAATCCAAATTAAGTCCAAAGTGGTATTGTAACATATTTACAAAAATTTCTACTCATTCGTTTTAATTTCCATTGATGCCCGTCTTTCATGTTTCGTCTGCCTATTTTCAACAGTCTGTCTGGAGTTTGCGCAATACTTTTCATCGTATTGTTTCATGGTGTGTACAAAGATGACTGAGAAACATTGTTATCGGTTTCGTTTTTGTCAAAAAATTATTTTTTTGTGCATTTTTATGAATTTTTTCTTCAATCGTAACTTGTTAACAAATAATAGTATAGGTCTAAAATTGTAAGTGGGTTTTACACTTTTATGGAAGCATCCCGTTTTCTTATCACTCTCTCGATTGAAAAAAAGATCTTTGCTTTTCTTGAAAACCCAATTTGTCGTAAAATGAGGTTTCAAGAGAAACAAAGATTTTTCGAAGAGAAAAAGTAACCGCCTGCTCAATTACACTATAAGAGTGGAATTTTGACACACAACTTCAGCGCTATTCTTATATTTATTGACAAAAAAATCTATAACATTGTTTTTTAGCAACCTTATTATGAAATGATCAGATGAGGATTTAGAATACTGCTCCAGACAAGCAGTTGAAAAAAAGAGACACGCGACATGAAATGTGTCTGGATTTGCATTTTTGGGAATATTTCGCAATTTTTGATTGCGGTTCTAATACATGCGATTCCAAATAAACAAACCTTCTACTAATGCTTCCTCCATACATCTTGTATAATAACAGGTCAACGAAACAAAGTTTCGTATCCAAGGTAAAAACATATGTGTGACATTAATACGATCAGGAAGTTTTTGTCCGGTATGTTTAAACCATGTTGATTGGGACAGGCTACTAATGTGGTACAGCTTAAGAAATGCCATCCAAGAATTATGTTAAAGATATTAGTGCAAGGTGTTGGTTGAACGTCCTTCAAAACAAATTGAATTTTTGTTTACTTATGTATTACATGTTCTATTATATCTTTAGTGTAGTAATATGCAAGTGCATGCAACGACAAGGTCACTCTTTAATTTGACTGCATAGGTGTAATGGTGTACGATCAAGAGGGGGGCAGTATAACACAAAAGTCATTCCTATTTCCAGAAAGAAAGCGTTTATTATATCGCCTTCTTATTTTTTATCATAACATGGCAGTGTTTGACCTTCATAACAGGCTTATAATAATATCAAAAGTATACCTAGTATCCAATTATTTTTTTGGTTTTTTTGATTTGTTATAATGTGCCTCTCAACTCAGACGGGATGCACTATAATAGTAGGTTAAACATACATCAACAAGATAAAATATGAAAGTTAGAAAACCTTCAACTTCAGTTATGTGCCATGGCAAATTTTTGGTAATAAAAATCAACTAGAAATTTATAATACAAAATTATTCTGTTTTCTTAATCTAGATTTAAATATATTTTTTTTGGCTGCTTTTTCAAATACTTGAATAATTTGTGTATCGGTGAGGATACAACCTTTTATGCATTTTTTTGAAATTCTGGGACTGGCCTTCAAATATTCTCTACATCCGATTGTGCTCGCTATATGTCTCCAATTCCAATAACATCTTTTTTCTGTTCCTCTATATCGTTAGCATATTGTAGGCCAATTTTTAGTCTTCCTCTTCCGATTTCATACCATTTTCAGTGTACAACACACAAAATTAATCAAAAGGGAGATACTAATCCATTTCACATTGTAGCCCATTACACTTTACCCCATACCCTTTTATTTAAAATGAATATTTGTTAAAATACTATAGGTTGGAAACTGCAATCGACTTTGTTTACTATTTAAACCCCGACTGATTGGAGATTAAAGTGAACATATCATATACAGGGTGTAAACGTTATGGTAGTCATTATTGAAATGGGTAATAGGGAGAGTCAAAACAAGCCAAAAGTTCATATGACCCATGGTCCAAATCTCAATAGATAGTTTACAACTTTAAGTGCATTATATCGACCACAATCACCACACTCTTACTAATTTTTATAATGTAATCTAAAACGTTTTTAAATTGGGTAATCAACAAATAAATGGCATTTAGTTTTCTCAGTTAAGCTAAAGTTTGTAGTCAGAAAGTAAGTAAGTTTCATTAAATTGAATATTTAAAACACACATGACAACAGCGCGTCGGTCATCATCACTCTTACCGAACTGGCAATCGATCGCAAACGGCAACAGTGGTTAGTATGTTGATCTGTTTTTGTTCGCGTACGTCGAAAATATTTTAATGCGGCTGAAATAATAATTGGACAACTTCGAGGACCTAGGGTAAGAAGAAACTGGGTTAGTCGTAATGAAGCTTGTGTGGAAAGTGGAGGACGACATTTTGAACACCTTCTTTAAATACAAAAAAGTTCAGTGTGGGTTTTAAAAAGAAAAACAATGCATGTATCAAAATTGTGTTCCCTATTTATAAGTGGATTTTTTTAATACGGTCAATAAACTTTCACACACCAGGTGAAGCGATTAGACAGTTAGTGGTAAGTCCGTTTTTTTAATTGTTTGCTAAGAGCCAAAAATAACAAACTCCATCTTTATTTACACTGCGTTTCGTCGTAATTTGCGTCTGGCATTGCGGCGTTGTCAGATTTTATTTTACTTTAAAGTCGGTTTTTCTCTATGTTATATGAAACTTTTTGCTTCTTCTAACCCCTGCTACCACCCAATTAAATAATCACTATCATAACGTGTACACTCTGTATATTTACTCTCCACAATTATTAGTCTACCATCAAGAACAAAACTTCACTATTAAAATTATTCATATTTGTTTTACAGAAAACATGGATTAGTGCATTCTTCCGTTCCAGAAATTTGAGGACCGATAACAGTCGTATTAGGTTTAAGCAGATGAGACTGACAAAAAACGTAAGGTGACATCATAGACAAATAGAAAAGGATAGAACAAATCTTGATTCGGTAATAAATGTATAATGTATTATTATGCGTGAAGAATCTTGAAAGTAAAAAATACAATTTATTAAAAATATGTCAATAAAAATGTCAAAAAACATGATAGGTTTTAATTTATCTGCAATGATTTTAAGAATGGCATAAAGTTACTAATATTCGGAATGGACCGAAGTTTAATTCAATAATGAGCACCAAAGACGTCACCCCTGTTTATAGCAAGATAAGCGCCATCAGTGATAGGTGATTTACTTGTTAGTTGGATGTGGATCTAGTGAAGCGCAGTTTTTCTCCAAAGTTGCCGATATTTCGGTAAATATATTTCTTCTATGTTCTCTATAGTTTGAAGCTGTAGTCATCAAATAACACTCAAATGTTACGCACATTCTATATATTTATAGTTAAAGTTTATATCAACAAGAAGTAATATAGTATTCGTTTCTTTGGCAACACACCACATACAGCCATCAGAACAAACTATTGTATCAAGGTTTGTCAATAAGTTCCAACTTAATTAGAAACATCTAGAATTTGCCTAATATTTAAGTTTCATTTGACCATTACAGCTTCATACTAAAAGGAGACATGAAGAAGGAAACGAATTTTCCAAAACGTCGGCAACTTCGAAACCGAAGCTGCGTCTTTTCAGACCCGCTTTCAAAGATAGTGTAGAGATGTACCTTTTTACAGGGAGATTTAACTACACAGTAATAACAAGTAATTTACGTGAATAAGGGTAATTAAAACACCAATATTCTACACCAAAGCTATGATGTCAGGCGAAAAGCTAATTGCTCTGTCTGACATCTGACTACTTTTGATCTGACTGCAACTCAGGTTTATGCACCAGACAATATCGGTGTTACCACTTTGAGGAACGCTCAGGTAACAGAAGCGGCTTATAATACTCCATCCTACTACCGATAACTTTTGGACTACAAAGATGGATACAGTGACGAATTCAGAGATGATAGATAGCAGGAGTGGTATGTTTCCGCGGAAAAGTTCCAACTGTCCTTCTTCAAATAAACTCTTTTGTTTTAGTGTTCTAATATAATATGGACTTACATTGAATTCCTTATAATGGATGCAAAAACAAAAGCACCTTATCTTCCCCATATCAACTAGGATGTGGAATTCGTGACGTGTGGTATTTTTTAAAATTTGACAGGTTGGCATAGGCTTGCCCATTCTTAAATTGAAAAGCTTTTTATTAAAGATAAAGTCTGTGGTTTCTTTCAGTTGCACGCTGTAGTCTAACAATTTGGCTATGAGTGCAAGTACCTGTCAAATTCAAATTTGACACTGCTTCAACAGACAAGAGTGCATGGAAATACCGAGTTGATCTACGTAGCTAAATTTTTGCTGTTACATAACGACTATCCTCTCAACTGTCCCTGGTCCTTTTCCAGTTGGTAATTAAACTCCGCGCGTAAACTTGATTATGAAATCTATATCAGGAGTCTCAGGTGCACCGATTAATATTGTTAATTTTATTTTATTAAACTTCCTGTGGATAGAAACGATTGTGTTCGTTTCCTATTAAACTGAATAATAGATACCGTTCATTGAACATTTGCATCCTTTCAATCAGCAATGATTTCTCACGCAGTTTGTTGCGTAACACCTTAAAATATATTATAATGGACCGTGGATTGCAATCGATAGCGTCCAAACCACAAATATCGTTATATTTTTCCATGTATTATTGAATTATTATAATTAATCACTGGCTAGTTGCGCAACCAGCATTTTTGCAAGTGTTTCTAAATTCACCTAGCGGCAATTTGGGGGTAATCTTTATGTGTAGCAATAATTTAATATAATTTTATAGAAAGGTATATACGAGCCCCTTCCCACTTTATAATGGGTTATCTATCTCATTGATTAATTTAAGTCGTCTCTTTGACATCAAGCAACTGTAATGGGTTAAAAACGTCACGATCGCGATGCAAAGTTTTGGAATATATTGTATAGTGTTAGTAGCAAAAACTACTAAATAACTCTCATTTGAGATCGTTATTGGTTTCGCATATTATATGCTGCGACGCTACAAGACTCAGTTATAAAAGTGATCGCCCAATTACTCAATTCTCACCTAGGCATGTAAAGTACTATGAATGGTAACAGAAAAAGAACAGGCTCAACAAGAGTTTACTCCTCTTTTAAAATCGACCAGTACTTTGCTTGAGTTTATCAAGTAAATATTTCAAACTATATGCATATTGAGGAGGAAATGATAAAATTCTGACATAGTGGAGTAGAATGGCGCTTTAGGATTGGCTCAGACGTATTGCGCGTCAGTGATAGCCAGTAGTCACCTTCATCATGTAGTAAGTGGAGTTCCTCAAGGCTCTGTCTTGGGGCCAGTGCTGTTCCTTCTGTATACAAGTGACCTGCCCGCATTGATTTTCTCCACATGTTCAGCTTATGCCGACGACACCAAGATTTACAATACTGTCGTAAATTCTGCTATGCTTCAACGTAATCTTGATATTGTTTGTCAATGGTTAGTCAGTTGGCTTTTACCCTTAAATCTAACTAAGTGTTGTGTCCTTCACCTCGGGAAGACAAATCCGCGATTTACATACAAGATCTCTGACCACAACAACGAAGCAGTTTCCAGCCACACTGATCTGGGCGTTGTAGTCAACGATCGTCTTTCCTGGTCAGAGCATATTCACCACGTTACATCAAAAGCCAAGAAACTTCTATACATGCTGGAGAGGTCTTTCAAAGGATCCGATGTCAACACTTGCGCCTACATTTACAAGGCATTCGTGAGGCCAATTCTTGAATTCGCTGGCCCGGTATGGGACACTGTGCTTCTGCACGATAGAAATCTCGTCGAATCAGTACAGCGTCGGGCTACTCGTATCCCTTTTGGAGCACGAAGACCAAGCTATGAAGATCGCCTTAAATTATTCAACCTGACCTCATTCTCTGAGCGAAGACTTCGTGGCGATCTTATAGTTACGTTCAGGATACTTCATGGTTTGATGGGCATCAACCTCATGCATCTATACCGTCTGTCGCGCAGCAATCTACGCGGACACAGCTTCAAACTGCATAAGGAGCCATTTAAAACAACAGTCCGACAGTGGTTTCTTCCCAACCGCATATTCAACACCTGGAATAGATTACCTGAAAGTGTGGTTGGTGCTACTTCAGTTAATAGCTTCAAAGTGCAGTATGATAGCTGGAGGAGTGTACAAACTTTATAGCTATGAACTGTCTTTTTTTATTTTTTTCTATTTGATGTATTTGTGTTACGTGTCCGTACACTATATTTACGGCATGAGCTTATAGTACTGTGTACTCTGCTCATCTCAATTATCATAATAATAATAATAATAATAATAATTGCTAGCCTGTGACTAATAATCTCCTACATGCCGCCACCGCGCGATGTGCCTGACAGACAGACCCGCCTGACTTCGATCTCGCTTCTTAACAGTGTCGAAATTCGGACAAACAGAACTGGCCGATACGACCGTTCCTTTGTCCTTAATGTATCGATAATGTGGAACAATATTCCTGAGGAGGCTTTTCTTTGAACTACTGAGCTAAGGTGGTTCAAAAATGGGCTTCTGCCTGCGCTGCTGCTTCGGTATCAAAGAATAATAAATTGGAAGGGATGGACTGAGATTGCTCAAAACCAGGCGAGAACCATTCGTGTTTGTTCGGTCTTGGCAGAACTTTAGATAGATGACTAAAACCTAAGATAAGTAAGAGACAATGCAGAGTCCAGCGATTATGTTTGTGGTTCAGATGGTTGTTAGTGTGCGTCGGGAATAGATACCTTTTTTAAAGAATCTATGACTAGAAGCTTATGCAGTTCTTTCTTTTTGTTCCCTTCCTATTTCTCTATCTGCCTCTCTCTTCAAGTTCATAGAGTAATCTTTTGATGTAGTTACCAGTATTAATTTCATAGTTCTTATTTTTGTAGGTCCACAGTCTGATGGAGTATTTTAAGGACGATCTGCTAAACAACCATATTTATTATATTACCGTTTGGGACCGCGTTCTTAGAATATAATATGTTTGCTCTGGTTGAATGAATAAAGTTGTATTACCAACTCATGCATGTGACCACAAGCCGATCTACCTATTATAAAATATTTTCCGCCGTTATGCAACACATTGTGTGATAATTTATAATTGAAAGCATGTAAATATGCATTGGATAACGGATCTTGCTCTCCTGAACGCGTTTACAGTTATCTACATGTAGATAAATGCGCACTTTTTGTTAAACGTTACGTTGACAGTGTTTATTGTTGTAAGGCCTAAATATGTCATATTTTCTAGATACTAATACTGGTAGCACGTTTTTTTAATGGAGGTGTAATGTAATGGACATAGACACTTGTACATATAATTGCGCAGGGAAAGGCGTAAGTTATTAGGCGTAAGCCCCATAAACAATGTTTCAGGGATTGCAATAACATGGAAGGTTAAAGTTCATACTATATGTGCAAATAAAATAAAAATGACAGGTTCCGATAGGTACTACAGAACTACAGAAGTGATGAGTGTCGAGTAATATGTTGAATATTCTACACCTAAACAAGTATTGTTTACTTAGTTTTCTATCTGTTGACAGTTATTTCTTTTGAAATATTCGCTTTAAGATGCATGAATTAGAAATTAATAAAATTATCTACAAATTGGTTAGGCGCGTATCCAAAGCTGAAATCTGTCGAACATTCCAGATTGAAAACATTTCACTCAAAACCTTTTATCGAACAATAACGGCGTGCGAGCAGCGAATACCATGTTTGAATCTCCCAAAAAGTGAAAGATCACGTGCACTTAGTGCACAGAGGTCGGAGAGATTGATAACAACGGCAAAAAATCAGGTTGGAATGTCAACAAGAAGACTGGGTTGTCAATACAGATCCTCTAACAGCACGATATCGTTGGACTTTAGGAGGAATGGTCTTAAATATCGAAAGAGACTTAAGTGCCCCAAATACTCTCAAGCGCAACTTCTTCGAAATTGCTTCAG